TCAAAACTTAACACCAATAATATTTAAGGGCCCGAACAGACTACCAAAAAGAGTCTGCTTCTGGGCAGCTTAAGAGCATGGCATTTTGACACTGCACACTCTGAAGCCACCCGGAAGCTGGCTTCCAGCTGCCCAGCTGCCCACATACATGCTGCATACTTCTGGAGCAGCCTGGAGCAGGCAGTGAAGCTAGCTTGAAGCTGGCCAAAAAAGGAGCAGCTCTTTGGGCAACTGCAAGTCAGATTGGGGCCACGGCATGTGTTCATTGTGGTCCCAATCCATCTTCAGAATGCACCTTCCTGCTAGTCCATTTCCCCCCTAAGTCTATACAAAATGCCTTAGCTCACTTTGAAGATAAACTACACCAAGGGAAGCTTTATGTGACAGACCAAAAGACACCAGCAAAAACATGAAAACATATAGAAGTGAAAACCAACACGATTATGGAATTCACCACCTCAATTATAGTGAAGGCTGAACTCAAAAGTCCTAAACTGATTCACTCTGGACCTGATTAAACAATATCTTTGTATACCATATAAAATCCTTGGAGTCCAACTCATGAGCAAGAGAGTGTGGTATTATTTATTGGAGCAGTGCTGAAAACAGCAAAAATGTAGACTAAAGGAAAATAAGAAAGTTAAAGGAAAACTAGTAGATTTAACTTTTGCACACTTTTTGAACACTTACATAAAAATGTTAAACATTCTAAAGGTAATCACAAGAATAAAATTATTCCAAAAAGAAAAATGAAACAAGATAGCAACAAGATAGAGTATGGTCTTCCCTTTATTCCTCCTATACATGAAGATCCTACTGCATAAGAAACTGTATGAAACCTTTTGCCCCATTTCCTTATACCCCTATATTTAATACCACCTTCAAATAAAAAATATACTGAAGAATAAACAGACAAGTGATGGACAACCTTTTTTCTCTACTTCTAATGAATCATCAAGTAGTTTTGTGCAAACATCCAAAACCTAAGGGATTACTGGATCAGCTCCAACGGAAGATGCACCTGTTTCAGATCCTTAATCAGGCAAATGCCTTTCATATAGCAGAAAAAGTGGAATATCTTTTATAATTATCAGAAATCTAGAACATTAGTAGCATGTGCTAATGACCAAGTAGCAAAAGTTTTTCTTAGAGCTAGGGTCCTCCAATTGGAATTGGAGTAATATGCTTGTTTAAACAATTGTATCTAACACCTGTTTGCCTAAAACTGCAAAGGTCAACATCAAAAGCTCTGGAGTCTTAAAAATAACCCAACTTTTGGAACTTGGGACTGGAAAAGAAACAGGTTGATGTTCACTAGGCCATTTGACTGGTGTAAATGAAGACAATGAACCTTCAGTATAGCAAGTTACAGACTCTAAAAATGCAGCACGTGTTAATGTTAGATATAACACACAATGAGATCTTCCATTTACCTCTGTCTCTAGTCAGGAAAAACAATACTGAGAAAGAGATACAATCAGTGGATTAGGATATACTACAGGGAGCTCTGATAAGAAAAGATCCATCACCTACAAATTTATTGCAGACTTACATTAATGGGTACAGTTGTTCCTCTAGAGAGATTGTCTTTCTGCAGAGCCTGTGATTATTGATAAATTGGGCACTCTTCAGCTAGACCTTTTGTACAGATGTGCTCCCAAGGAAATTTGATTCAGGTAGAGGGGGAGGTTACTTCAGAAATATCCTATGGTGCAGGCATCACCTGTGGGATGGGGCATTTTTTCATTATTCATGAGCCTTAGATGTTTAATTTTTGAAGAGCTGCATGCAGACTGCAGGAAGATATAAGTGTGCAAGAAAACTCAGATAAGATGCCACAGTTATTTATTGTAACAGAATCAGTAGATTCTAATAAAAAGAGGAAAAGGATTGTAGATGATACATCATAACCAATGAATGTTAAAGTCAGATGGAAATGAAAAGTGACACAATAACAATGTTATTATGCCTGGAAATGGGCCATGCAGGTTCAGTGCTTTGTACACAGAAATCAGGGTTGTTGGAAAATCAATGGCAGCCTGTCTATATAGGAGCTTGGACAGTTAGCAAATAGCGATAGGAATGTAACACAAACTAGTGGATAGATGCAGCTATCTCTGAATCAAAGGATTTGGGTGATCTCATTGAATGTCAGTGAGTTGGGTAGAGCAGAGAAAAGGCGATAAACTACAGACTTCATTAGGCATATAGTTCCTAATATAATTTTCCTACAGGAGACTCACTGTAAAAATTTATACACAGAGCTTTAAAAACACAATACACTCGTCCCTCACCATTTGTGGGCTTGCCATCTCCAGTCTTGGTCTTTTGCAGGCAGCAGGAGGCGAGGGACAAAATTGCGCTCATACTGGAGGCACATGCACAGCTATTCTAACCAATGGGGCTCCAGTATTTGTGATATTTCTAATTCACAGGGTGGGTGGCTCTGGAACAGATCCCCCATGATTAGGAAGAGATAACTGTATGCTGGACAACAGTTCTTAGCCCCTGGGACCTCTACAGCCTTGCATTTGGTAGTAAAAGGTCTTTTTTTTATATCTGTGCTTTTACTACTCCTACTTTGTCACAGAGCAGAGAAACTTTGACCCTCTCAATATTCTGGAAATAAAGTTAGTTAATCACTTACCAACTAGCTGGCCTTCTGAGAGTAGTTTAAAACATCTAGAGGGCCAACTGTTTCCCACCCCTGTCAAAGGATGTGAGGGGATCTGTTTTATCATCCTTAAAAAAAAGAAAAAGAAAAAAAAAGAAACCATAGGTCATGAACCCATTGGTAGATAGCACTTGGTTGGGAAAAGGTGGTTTACACCATGTACTCTATCCTTCACAAAGGGCATGCTAGAAATATCTCTTTGTAGCAACCTTTCTACCTTGTAGTCTAGCCCTATTTATGAATAGCCCATACAACAGAGTCTCTAGAGCTCTAGGGCACTGAATTTCCATTTTCGTACAGCACTGGTAAGAAATCATAAGAGAAAGAAAAAGCGTGCACTAGATTTTGTTTCCATTATGCAGTGAATGCCTTGTTTTTCTCGTACAACAGCAGTTTCCTGTTCCTGTAAGTAAAAGATTGCTGAGGGATAGAGAAATTGCTCATCTTGTGAACAATTTGATGACTATCAGCAGAACAGTACTACAATATGGGTTCCTGAACTTGGCTCTTTTTTGCACATCTGTCACTATAGGATTTTCATGCTGCTTGACAATTTAATGCAAAACAAAACATTTCCTTTCAGTGTGTAGGTTCAAGCCCTATCAACATGGTTTCAGTTGACAGAACTTGGATTTAACTATTTTATTTTTGCATTTAATAGACTCAACATATGTTAGATGGCCATAGAATTATTCAAACAACTCCGTCTAACAACAGCAGCAGAATCAGCCATCTAGGATCCTGTGCTTGGAAAATGGTGGGATAAATGTTAAATAAGTTGTATTGTTCATTTTTGTTCTCTGCCTCAATCCACAGGGAGAGGTGGATAAGAAATAATAATAATAATAATAATAATAATAATAATAATAATAATAATAATAATAATAATAATAGCAAGGGGCTGGTGTGATAATCTCCCTATTCTCCAGAGTCACAGTTCAGTGCTCAAAGCACTATATCATGCTGGTTCTCTATGTTGTTGTTGTTAAAATATTTATACTTCTCTCTGTATCAGATTTCAGGGCAGCTAACAAATAGCATTAAAACAGGTTAATTGATTTCACTGATGGGACGTGGAGGACACTTTCCCATCTTTTAAAAATCCTCAAGCAGGCTATGCTATTAATATAATCTTTCTCTGAGACTGCAATGTGGTATATGGGGCTACATCTGAACACTTAAGGAAAGCTACAGTTAGTACAAAACATAATGGTTAGGTTACCAGTTGGGGCCAGCTAAATTCAACATAGTTCATAGAGTCAGTGGAATGCAATGGTTTGATTGCTGGACTAGGACTTTGGGAGACCAATGTTCACATCTCCACTCAGCCATGTCATGTTAACTCACTGGGTGACTTTGGCCAAGTCACACTCTTTAAGCCTCAGAGAAAGGCATTGGTAAATTCTTTCTGAACAAAGCTAGAAAACCCCATAATAGGATTGCCTTAGGGTTACCATAAGTCAGAAGTAACTTGAAGGCACACTATTACTACCATTGGCATCACTAGGGGGTGCGGGACGGGGGCAGCCCACACTGAGTGACACCCCAGAAAAGGGGTGAAAGCCTGGGTGGGCCCTCCTCCCCACCGTGCTGCCACCACATTATTCTAGTCATGAATAGAATGATGCAGCAGCTCTAGGGGAGGCTGAGTGTGCCACCCCTGGAAGCCCCACCCTTTACCACTTCTCGAGCGCCAGCCTGATTCGTCCCCATTGCAAGATTGTGGCTCCCTGCCACCAGGAGGTTTCCAAGGCAGAGGAACAACAGACATCCCAGAATTTGGATGGAGGATGGCAGCTGCACTGCCCCGTTCAGGCCCCAGGCTGTTTGCAGCCGAAAACCTCTCACATGTCCCTGGTCTCTCAGGGCTGAGATGGTGGCCTCTCCCTCATTGGCAGAAAGCAGCAGCTCCTCTGGGGTCCCATTCATCCAGCTTTGGGAGCTGCCTGCTTGGGGGGGGGCACTGCCGTGGAAAGGCCTCACAGACACTCTTAAGCTGTGAGTCAGAAGAAATGCAAGTTTCTGCTGCTGGTGAGGTCAGCATTCCCCTCATTGAGTCTCAGGAAGGTGTGTGCCCCTGAAGGGTGGGGGTAGTGGTGTTTCTGTCAGAACAGGCTGCCCTCCGGTGCTGTCTTCCCTGCAATGGAAGCCCCAGCTCTGCACCAGGTGGTACCGGAGATGAGGATGCCACTGATTATTACTGCTGTTGCTTTTACAGCTGCAACAACTGCAGGCTGACTGGTTGTTTCAGGCACAATTCTACCTTCCTCTCAGCATGAACCCATTTTATAGATTTGATTTGTGAAAAAAATTAGCATAGGGAAGTTCCCAGAGAACCAGCTGGGTGGTTTGAGCCTTGGACTATGACTCTGGAGACCAGGGTTCAAATCCCTGTTTGGGTATGGAAACCCACTGAGTGACCTTGGTAAGCCACACTCTCTCAGCCTCAGAGGAAGGCACAGATAACCCCCCCCCC